TAGACCTGAAATCTGGATACTGGCAGGTGGAAATTCATCCAAAAGACAAGGAGAAGACAGCTTTCTCGACCGGTAAAGGTTTATGGCAATTTAACGTCATGCCCTTCGGATTGTGCAACGCGCCTGCCACATTTGAGCGACTCATGGAGTGTGTACTTGCAGGCTTAGTTGGAGAGGCTTGCTTAGTCTACCTAGATGACATCATCATTGTCGGCCGTGACTTCGAGGACCATTTGCGAAACTTGGAGCGAGTTTTCGCCAAAATAGAGGTAGCCAAATTAAAGTTGAACCCGAAAAAGTGTCGTTTAATCAGGAGCAAGGTCAACTATCTCGGCCATGTTATCTCCAGTGATGGAATTCAGACAGACCCGGAGAAACTGGAAGCAGTTCAAAAATGGCCTACCCCTAAGGACAAAACCGAAGTGCGGGCATTCCTCGGCCTATGCTCATACTACAGGCATTTTGTTAAGAGATTCTCAGAGATAGCCAAACCATTGCATCGGCTGACAGAAGATAAACGACCATTCAGTTGGGATGGAACTTGTGAAGATTCTTTTCAGAAACTGAAGAAACATCTGTGTGAAACACCAATCCTGGGGTATCCACAATCTGAAGGTCAGTTTATAGTCGACACAGATGCAAGCAACACGGCCATTGGAGGGGTGTTATCTCAAAAACAGGGTGAAAGAGAAGTTATTATTGCATATTTCAGCAAATCGTTATCCAAGCCAGAGAGAAACTACTGTGTAACAAGAAGAGAACTCTTGGCTGTTGTAAAGACGCTACAACATTTCAACAAATATCTCATCGGCAGACAGTTTTTACTGCGAACTGATCACGCAGCCTTGAAGTGGCTACTGCAATTCAAGAACCCGGAAGGTCAAGTAGCTCGATGGATTGAGCAGCTCCAGGAGTATGACTTCAAGACGGAACACCGCAGCGGAAAGACGCATGGAAATGCCGACGCACTCTCACGAAGGCCGTGTTCGGAAGACTGCAAACATTGTGTTAAGCAGGAATCTAATGAAGTTACATTAAAGCTAACGAGGAGAAGTCCTTTGGGTCTCTGGGAGAATGATGCTATGAGAGAGGCTCAAGAAAGTGACGACGACCTGCGGCACATCATCACATGGAAGAAGCGGGGCGATGTAAAACCAAACTGGAGTGAGGTTGCACCCACTGGCGCTGTCACTAAGGCGTACTGGGCGCAATGGGACAGTCTGATACTTCAAAACGGAATACTCTACCGGAAATGGGAGAAGACTAACGGCAGAGAGTTCCATCTTCAGATAATTGTCCCGAGAACGAGAGTACCAGATGTTCTCCGTGAAATACATGTTGGCGTATCAGGAGGTCATCTAGGTGTCAAGAGAACGTTAACAAAAGTGCGAGAACGATTCTACTGGTTGCATTGTCGAGATGATGTACAGGATTGGTGCCGCAAATGTACTACTTGCGCTGCTGTAAAAGGACCACAGACCAGAAGCCGTGGGAACCTGCGGTTGTATAACGTCGGTGCACCGTGGGACGAATTGCAGTTGACGTAGCTGGGCCATTTCCTGTAACGGAATCGGGAAACAAGTATTTTATGGTCGTCATGGACTACTTCACCAAATGGCCCGAAGTGTTCGCCATACCAAACCAAGAAGCTACAACAGTCGCTTTTAAGTTAGTCGAAGAAGTGATATGTCGTTTTGGTGTGCCTCTAGAAATCCATTCCGATCAGGGCAGGAACTTCGAATCACAAGTATTCCAGGAAGTGTGTAGAATTTTGGGCATGCATAAGACGAGGACCACCGCGTGCCACTCACAGTCTGATGGAATGGTTGAGAGATTTAACCAGACCCTTGAGAGGCATCTGGCGAAATTGGTAGACGACAAACAAAAGGATTGGGACAAGTATATACCACTCTTCCTTCTGTCGTACCGAACCGCCGAGCATGAGAGCATAAAAGCTACCCCGGCGTATGTCAATTACGGTAGAGAACTACGATTACCAGTAGACCTATTGACAGGAGGGTCACCGGAGGGAGAACATGAAAACCAGATACGACCGGAAATCGAACACGGACGGCTTCGAAGAAGGGTCACTGGTGTGGCTGCATAACCCAACTCGTCGGAAAGGGAAATCCCCAAAGTTGCAGATCAAGTGGGACGGTCAATACAAAGTGGTTACCCGACTGAATGATGTGACTTATAGGATTCAAAAGCAACCAAGAGGGACATTCAAAGTGGTACACATAGACCGTCTGGCGCGTTACCATGGCAGTAACAATGATGCTCGGGACGAGCATCTCTAAGAGGGGAGTAGTGTTATGAACACACAAAGGAACTAACGCCATCTAGCGTCAACTATTAAAATCACTAAAGAACAAAGACGACATAAAACCCCCTATTCAATACTAGATGGCGTTAGAGGAACTGCTGTGGAACTATAGTCTCGAAAACCGGGTACATTCGCGAACTTTCCGGAATCACGAACGTGTTCGGGCGTGTCGGGTACGTTCCAGGAAGGATCTTTCTGGATTAGTCTGGAACCGGTCTCGGCCCATATAAAAAGCCGCGGGGAGGCGAGCGAAGACAGTTCAGTTTGAGCTACCTTCGAGGCGACTTCGGAGTGAAACCTAGTGTGATCAAGAGCGATACCAGTGAAACCTACGACTTGGCTACAAAATAGGACATCGTTAGTGCTTAGTGTTTGGACCTAGTGCTTTGTGTTGGACCTAGCGCTAGTAAATAAAGTCTTCAAAAGAGTCAGCAGGTCTTTCTCTCCAAATCCTTCGAACCCCTAACACGTAACAATATTTTTTTATGTAAAAGTTGTCAAACGAGCCGCATGTTCACATAACGTTAAAAGTGAAAACTGAAACCCGTGGACATCTACAACATCCGAAAGCTTGCAGAGGCGTTGTCAAAAATAAAAAGTAGGCCCCGGCTACCTCACTCACCAGACGCGAAAGAATAGTACTTCCACTTCACGTTGGTCTTCTGTGAGGCCATAGTAATTCCTTGGAGTCCCATTCGTGCAATACCTGAAGATGCTACGTGGACCTATCCCACATCGCCATGGTCGAATCATCGATTCTATGAACTGCTCTAAATCAAATTAGTCAATAGCTCTTGTATGTTGGACGGTGGCTACACTGTCCAGGTCTTTCAAAACCTTCCCCATGGAACATAACCATGCGTACTCAAATAAATTAAAGTACGGTGATTAAGCAGGCCTTGAACTTAATATTCTCGTGCAAAAACTATTCTTGAATCTTCCTGGATGTATGGCAGTGAACACTGCCGGGCATGAGATTAAAATCTGAGCCAACACTGTGTGAAAAGGGAAAAATGCATATTCTGTCAATCAAGCATGTTTTTGATGTAAGAATCAGCGTCTAAGTAGGCATTTATGAAAATAAGCTCAGTTCGTCTGTCCTTCATGACAGACCCCACCACACCATTACTGTTACCAACTGTAGAGATAAACGATTTTTCGGGTGCTCATCTTGGCTTGACATCTTTCAGTTAGTTGCATGTAACAATCTTGCCGAGCATGCTGTTCTACGGTAGCCCCGGTTTTCTTATAAATACGCCAAAGACGGTTATTTAACTACAAATCGAATTAACACCAAAAGCCACAATTAATTATTTGTTTTCAATTTGCATTTCATTCATTGTTATATATCACCGCTACATAACGTATTGCCAATATTTATAAAATTTAAAAACAATAAATGTTGTTAAAGTTAAAAATAGTACTAATTCTCAATATAGTTCTTAACGAAAAGTTCCACCAAAATAAATTAAAACAATTTTAATTTAAATGACATTCTTTTTTCTTTAATCAGCTAGAATTCATTTTCAGTTAAAAAGTTATTGTTAAAAATTTGCATATACTTAGCGTTAAAAACATAAAGTGATCAAATTACTTTAGCACCTATCACAATATTTTGCTTAGACTTTTTTGATGTACATACTTGTCTCGTGTGTTAATTGACCTCCTCGACCCACCCGCGACCCCGGTAACCTAAGCCAAAATTTTAGCAATGGCGTGATAGAAAAATGTGCATAGTTCTAACATAAAAAAATCTTTTGTCTCAAATAATGATGGAATATATGAATAAAAATGTAAGCCATGCCAAATGTGCTCCCATTTAGTTCTTACGTTTATCCATGGACGGCAATCATCATTAACCATTTTCCCGTGCCTTTTTCTGTGACGCCTATAATAGAAGAAGAAGAAGAAGAAACGTTTATTCACGGTCTAAGCACAATAGATACATAGAACACTTAAAAATAATAATGTAACTACACATTATGTAAAATAATATTAGAATAACTTAAAATAAATGTAAACATAACAAAAAAACTAAAAAAAAAATAATAATAATAAGTGAAGGTCTGTGTAGCAGCATAAGACCGTGAAACGGACGGGACTCGGTAAAAGTCGAGATACAGTAACTAAGATTCGTTCTGATCCCGACGCCGGTTTTCAGTCCGCCCGCGTATATACGCGTAATACGCGTAATACGCATAATTGTTACTCGAATAGCTAATTCGAGTAACGGTTAAGAAGATATAAACGTATCATGCGCATCTAAACAATCAAACTAAACAACAGCTGTAGTAGATTTTCGTATGCAAGACTTTCGAATTAAATGACTGATAAATTAAAGTAATTTTTAATGGTTTAATTAACATTTTTAAGGACAACTTGATGATATTATTAAATTCTAATATTATCTTATTATAACATAGCAGAGAACCGACTTCAATCATTTACTAATGTGTGAAATGATATAGTAATAAGTGATCATAATCTCGGTTATACAAGTATTAGATTGAGTGATAAGCCACGAATGTACAATTATATTGTGAAGCGGCTAACCCATATTTCGTCTCCTTTAACTCAAACTACTTTTTCTGTGAGATTAAGAAAAAATCCAACCTTGCTCTACTAATCAGAACTGATCAATCGATCTGACAAAGTGGCCCCAACCGGAACCGAAATGGCATGCCTTTGGGCGTCTGAAGAGCGTATAAAAGCCGTGGTCCGCAAACGTATCACTATTATTCGCATTATTGCTTTTGCTCTAACACTCGCAGAAATGGCCTTCCGAGTAAGTGTAGTCGGCAAAGTCAAAATTTGCAAAATATATATCAATGTGGAAAATATATACGAGTACCTGTAATTTAAAGTGTTAAATAACTTTAAACGAGCCAAAAATAATTTGTGATTTTGCAGCTTGTCGTTCTTACCTGCCTGGTGGCAGTCGCCAGCGCTGGCCTGGTCCCAGCAGCTCCTCTGGCCTATTCGGCACCCACCTACCACGGCTACCAGGCCGCCCCTGTTGCTTACGCCGCTGCACCAGTTGCCAAGCTTGCATACGCCGCTCCCGTTGCCAAGGTAGCGGTGGAGGAGTACGACGCGCACCCTCAGTACAACTTCGCTTACGACGTGCAGGACGGTCTCACCGGGGACTCAAAGTCACAACACGAGACCCGCGACGGTGACGTCGTCCAGGGCTCCTACTCGCTGGTCGACCCCGACGGCACCAGGCGCACCGTCGACTACACTGCTGACCAGCACAACGGCTTCAACGCGGTCGTGCGTAAGGAGGCCCTCGCTGTGAAGGCTGTTGCAAAGGTTGCCACGCCTGTCGCCTACCACGCCGCCGCTCCCGTAGCCTACCACGCCGCCCTCTTGGCTTACTCCGCCCCGCTCTACCACCACTAAGACTTATCTTGTCAGTTTTTAATTCAGTATAGTAAAATATTTATTTACTCACATGTTTTATTATTTACCGCGTCGTTACAAAACCAACAAAGCTTATTTTTTTGCGAAGGGTTGAAAAATGATGATGGCGACTTCACTCAACAAACATCTCAAGCTGGCCGAATACTTTTGCTGAAAATTCAGCTAGCCATATGCCAGGAAGCCCACCAGATTATAGGAATACCGCAGGTGGCCTATGTGTACTATTCATCGCAAGTCTAGTAGTAACGCATCAAAGGGAAAAGATGATAGTTCGAATTATTTTACTGCACCAAGTATTTATTTTACTTTGATTTTATGCAATTACCGATATATATTGACCGATCTTTGCTCAGTTTTTTTTTGGTAAATCATGTATTTTGGAATTAAAAAAAATAAAAAATAAAGAAAAAAAACAAATGTGTAAATGATCGTGATACGAGCAGCGGCTGTCTGTTTCGGGGCAGCCAGATTACTGACCGAGCTATTATAACATTTTCTTTTGCGGCGAAATTTACTGTCATATTCGAATGATAGTTTTCATTCCCTGAAAACAGGGATAAAAGGGTATTTTCTAAAAATGAAACCTAGCTAGATCGATTTTTCGCCCCTGAATCTATGCACATACTAAATTTCATGAAAATCGCTGGAGCTTTTTCCGAGATTCCAATTATATATATATATATATATATATATATATATATATATATGCAAGTACAGGGTCGGATTTAGAGGTCTGGAGGCCTTGAGGCAACAAAGTAGTGGAGGCCCCTTGGCCCCAAAAATGAATTTTTTTATTCAGTCGAGTTTTCGAATAAATATTTTTTTGTGAAACTAAGTATAGATTCTTTTATTATTTTATTATTTAACGAATAAAATCGGAAACAAGAATTATCTAAAATTAAAAGTTGTTTACTAGTGTTTACTAGTCTGAATTTGAACTTTTTCCGGAAAAATAAATATTTCAAATTCATTCTTTTGTGGAAGTCCCGGGGCTGTAGCCCTTTGCCAATGGTCGAATAAAAGTTATTACTTATCGAAACATTTTTATATTAACGGTTAATAAAATTGGAAAGATTTATTCATTATGTCAAAACCTTTTATGAATAATCGCGCTATTAATGGAAACCGGTCAATAAATAAAATATGAGTTATTATAAAGAGAAATAATAACAATAATATTAATACAATGATCATTTTCCCCCTTCCCGGTATGTCAGCGTTGATAAAGGATTCAAAATTTGCTTCTAACATATTGTCATGCCAACCTGTTACTGTAAGACTATTAAAGGACGTGATTAAAACAAATTGTGTAATTTCTAATAAGTTTTATTCATATCAATAAATATGCTTAAACCTAAACTAATAACTGATACATTTGCAATCAATGGTGATAGATGGGTGAGGAATATGCGAAAGGAGAAGTGTGCACGATGGGGGAGGCGGAGTGGTAAGCGATGGGGGAGGCGTAGGATATGGGGGTGGCATGATAGGCGATGGGAGAGGAGTGATAGGCCACGGGTGCAGAGTGGTAAGCAACGGGCGCGGAGTGGTAGGCGACTGACGCAGCCGGAGCGACCTTAGCCACGGTTGCAGTCTTCGCGCCGACAGGCTCTCTGCGGACGACCGCGTTAAACCCGTTCTGTGGGTCGGAGGTGTAGTCCACCGTGCGCTGCGTACCATCGGGCTCGACCAGCGAGTAGGAGCCCTGCACGACGTCGCCGTCTCGGCTCTCGTGCTGCGACTTGGAATCCCCGGTCACAGAGTCGTGAACGTCGTACGCGAAGCTGTACTGGGGGTGCGCGTCGTAGTCGTCGTCCGCCGGCGCGCCGTGATAGACCGGAGCAGGTACCACGCCCGCGCTGGCCACCGCCATCAGACACGCCAAGACAACGAACTGAAAGTAACACATGGCACACATTGAAGATGAGCAGCAATTTCTGTAGTTTTTACGGTATAAGACGGCAAAACCAATAGTCCTGCAGTGTAGGGAATATATCCACCACCTATTGACAATAAGTCGTGGTCGCAAATGAATTGTCAACCTTTATAAAAGCCCTGATTATCACAGATGAAATTTAAAAATATTACTGTGTTATCTACTTCACATCATCTCCTGTGAGGCAATGATGCTTCCCTGGACCAAACCCGAATATGTATTATATATTAGTAATAAGCATTGCCAAATGCTATCATTATTTTACACAGTAATGTCGAGATTAACACGATAAAATAGAGAGAAAATTATATTTATATTCTACGATGTTGTTTTTTTTTACTTATTCAACAGAACATTTAAACGTATATCGTAGATCTTTAATAATTTCACTTACTTTAAAAGCCATGATTCAGGCAGCGTATGTCTTAAGAAAGTGCAACGAGAAAAGTGTATGGGTCCGAAAGAATTTTGTGGTTTTATACCGTGAGCACAATGCCCCAGGCTACGTGCCCTCCGACACTGAGGATGTGTTATGATAGCAGCGAAAGCGGTATTATAATAAAACGGTATTATTTTAATGTTTAAGGGACAATAATTTATTTATTTACGAATATTTCATGCTTTTACGATGTTAAAAGCAACATTTTAATTGGTATTGATATTTCTAAAAAATCATGCTTAATAGCTTATGTCCAATTTTGCTTCAAACCGATAAAATAAAGATGTGATGTTGATAAAATATAGTGTTAAACAACTTTGTAGAACTCAAATATTACGGTTACTAATAATTTAAAATTACCTACGAAAAATATTTGTTCTTAATTGTTCCGTTTGCTCCTCCAGTAGTAAACCAGTTGCGATTGTTTTAAATATTAATATCATAACAGTGTTTACGAATATTTATTAACACGAATTATTTATTCAAGATTTTTATTAATTGTTATAAGTATATTCAACAAGCATTTATCAAATGCGTTTCGCTTTCTTTCCAATTTATTGTTTTTCTACTTTATAATTTAATTAATAATTCTGAATGAACGGAATGATAGCAACAAAATTGAACTAAAACCGTATTAATTGTATGATACGATGGCGATAAAATATGAACAGTTTTGTTATTATTGGCTATTTAACAATAGAGATTACATATACGTACATTCTCGTACTGAGGTTGTTGGCAAATACAAAGTTTGGTTTTCGTAAATGACCACATATTTGCAAATTGGATCATTTTGACCGATTTTTACATTTTTGATGTACTTTCTTAAAAAACGTCGCCTAAAATCGCTACCGCTAATAATGGTCTCCACACCCTAAATTGGCCGAAGCGAGCCGATGACAAGTTCCGATCGACCCATGTATCAGACAGTGGCGCAAGGACTACCAGGCGTTAATGTCGAATTTAAAGACGTAATACATTTGCGCCCTTTTCGCGACGCACCAAAAGAAGAAATAATGCAATTTTGTACTGCGTAGGTCACCTCGATTCTCGATACGAAAATGCATCTCACGGTCATTTATTTACATTAATATGTTCGTATTGTGCGATAATACAGCGAACTATTTTCGGTGAACTGTTTCTTAAACAGTTTTAGTTAACATAGTAAACAGGAACCAAGCTCATTTGCAGTGCTTAGTAAACAGGCACCAAGATCACTTACTGGTATGAATTTATGACCTTTCCTTTTTCAAAACTTATGTATGTCATATGCTATTATTGGCTTTACATCTCAAACGGTAATAGGCGAACCCTGTATGTTTTTCTTAAAAATCTTTGTATTAATCTGTTCGAACGTACGCAATTTCTTGTTTATAATATTATTATCCGCTAAAAGATCTTATCTTACATTATCATACTAAACACACTCTGTTTTTTTTTTTTCACTTTATACTAAGATTACATTTTTCGAATCATCATTATCTAGAGAATAATCACGCCCACTTCTCAACGTCTAAATCATCTATATGGCATCAAACACGCGCATAAAGCTCCAATGGCTACTAACTTTGTTTCTATCAACGCATATTTATATATTTTTTTTATTTACTATTCTATTATAGCTAGGTATTATTTTAATCAAACATATTATATGACACTACCTCACCGAAACTGACGCACTCAAATTACGCCAATTGGTGTAGTTAGAGTAACTTTATAGACTGCTTTCTCTTTCCGCATCATACGTTCTATATCATCTGTCACATTCACTTATACAGCTTGTCGTTACAACCGCGACAATAAATGAACACACGTTTAACGCTACTTGCCAATAATCATAAAAAAACTATTAACGTTAAAAAAACCATAATTAAAAAAAATATTTTTCAAACAAACTAATTAGGTAAAAAAGAAACAAAATTTTAACATCCTATACAGCTACAACTGACTGATTCATACATTCAGAGACTTTTTCATTCGTTGTCACAGCGTCGCATTACAAGCCTCTCCTTCTAACAGTATGTTTTGTCTCTTTTAAATTAATTCAACCCATTAATACGCTTTGTGACCTTTTCAAATGAACTTTACGTTACAGTGTTATACGTAAGGATGTTCTAAAATTCTTTGTTTTGGAAAATTTAATAACTCGGTAAATATTGATGTTTAAAGAATGTAAATTTTTAATACAACTTTAAAAATTTATCCTCAATATGTGTGTTCAGTTATTGTCGCGATTATAAAGACACGCTGTATATGAGGAATATCGAAACATAAACCGATATGTCACATATTAAAAAATAAAAAATAAATTATTATTAAAAATTAAAATAATATACTTATATGTCCATGGATTTCCAATTTAGAGATGAACAAAGTTTACTTATTTATAGTTCTTGGTAAAACTGTTATCTTAGCCAAATCACAGATTTATGTGTGCAGTAAGCGATGAGAAATTTAAAAAAACAAAATGGATTTATCGATTTTTGATCAGACTCACGGATATTTCCTTGTATACCATCATATTTTTTGGATGTATTCGTTTTAAATCTCGCATTCCTAGTGTTTTATAAAATGTTTGTAGGATTTATAACATTCTTTAAACTCCAATCATGACCCAGTAATAAAACTTCCTCCCGTGTCTTATAAATCTTGGGATATGGATTTGTCGGTTTTCAACCAACTAAATGCATAGCCCATGAAAGTTGCTAAGGATTTGTCGGTGTACGTTCCAATCATGAAACAATTCGATTGATTTATTGGTTTATGTTCAGATTAGTGTGTTTCGAGAAAGTTTTTAAAGACATTTATGAATAGTTTTGAAGCGTATAGCCAAGATGGCTATAGATATGATAAAATGTGATGTATCGGTTTTTGTTCCGATGCTCCTCATACCGTATGTCATACAATGTAAAGTGGAACAATTTTTACGCCGTGCAGTGTTATTAAAACATCATTGTAATGGTTTTCTTGTACTCGATTGTTACAGCCCCGCGGCGTAAGACTTTTAAATATGGGATATTAAGATATCAAGATATTTGTAAACGACAAGCCATTGGCTAAATTTAGACAGTGAAAAGCTCGCGATTGAATCTCAAGCCAAACTGAATTGGCTCGAGAATTCTCGAATACTCTGATAAAAATGTTTTTATCAGAGTATTCGAGAATGACAATATTCAGTACAGTAACACCATTCAACTTTTAAATAGCACCGAAGATAGTTTTAGAAATAAACCCAAGGAAAATTGGCGATATTTCGCTGCAAATACATAATTCTTAACGAGTTCTTTAAATACTTATTACCGAGATATTATCGAACGACATAAAACACATGTTTGGAGTACACATACATAAATTAATTTATAATATTCTCTTCAAAAGCGTTGGATACATTGTAGAAACTGAATTTATCGGAATTAATTGAGACATTTGGTAAGTTTATCTAATAGTATATAATGGTATAATTATACATCGAAACCAATTTATCGATTGTACAGAACTAACAATCACCAGCATTGTACTGGTTAGAAACTTAACACAGAACACATTAAAACTACCTTTGAATTATATAGCCATCTATGAAAATTCTAGGAATCTTCTTTTTAAATTCATTTATATTTAATAAGCATTTAGGAACTTGCTATAAGTGCCATCCTTAAGACTGAAAGCTTAAAATCATCCAACAAAGGCAAAGATAACAGTTAGAGGGTATGGTATTTATTTGGTTATAAAACGATGCATAGTAAAAATTATTTTATCATATATTTCGTTCAATACTTCTGTTCTGCTTTGAATCTTGTGGTTGTGAAAATTTCTTCTCTGGACTATTTATTCAAACCAGAACTGTGTATCCCAAACCGAAGAGAATGAGTTGTGTTAAAGATGCAATGATCAGGATGATCTTCGACCTTAAAAACTTTGGAATTGTGCATCATATTGCTATAACCGTGCGAAATTTGTTCTCACACTCTAATGCCCAGTTTCCGAAAGGCCAATCAAAGCAGCAATCACATAACACTATGTCAAAAATGATCAGCTGTTAATCTCTTGTTAAACTGCCTTGGGTTTCTGGAAGGTTTGTTCAAGAAAAATTAGCTAATCACTGTATAACCAACGATAATGAATGAAATGAATGATTTACTTCAACTAACTCTTTCTATTGTATAGCTGTCCCTTTTTAAACAAAACTTAAATTAACGTCACTATCCAGTCCTGTCACCGTGTGATTGCCAACGTAAAAATCCGAGCTATAATAAAATTTAATTTATATTAATACATGCATGTCAAGAAAAAACATTACAGGACGTGAAAAAAATGAACTTTTATCCATAATAAACAAGTAAGTAATATAAAAAGAAAGAATCATATTATTTATTAAATTTTGAATTGCATTTTCTATTTTTTCTAATCGCAACATATGTTCGCATAATAATAAATAATAAATAGGTAATAGAAGACATGAATTTCCTTATAACGTATTAGGGAATTATGTTCATTTCTAATAAAAACTAAGATTTTTGATAAAATACATTTTTAACCAACGATTGATCGTCCAAATTGACAGATTACTTAATAAAACTTTTGACAGCTCGTTGACCACCGAAAATCGCTTTCAGAAACTCGATTTTCTGTTGATTGTCCGTTAATCAGTGACTAATTGCAAATCGAAATCAATGTTGTTAAAGAAGTTCTAGCAACTCAGATCATGTTAAACAACGATTGACAAGAGATTTATCGTAAATTAAAATTGATTGCGCTTTCGGAAACTGGGTGTAAGTGACGTTTACACGGAGGCCTAGGTTCAGTTTAGGTCATGTTGGTACAGATCCGGACTACATAGCCAAAATCATAAGTTGAGTGTATGCCTACAGCCCTGAAACAAAAATGCAGAATTCCCAATAAAAACATATGGCTCTCCATGCCTAAAGAAGCTATGTCAGTTAAAGTTGAACGGTGAGATCATGCTCATTGTTTTTTTTTTAAAGTGCGTCAGTTCGTCCCTATGGAAACAACTTTGGAATCAGAATATAAGACATTATACGTAGACGACGATCAGAAAATAGTCAAATGGATTCCTCTTTGATAACGACAACGCGCCGTGTCACGTGTTCCTTCTTATTCATAAATTAATGGCTAAAAATAATCACTGGTATAAAACAATCATGTAATCGGTTTCATGCTTTTCCACAAAGTAATTTGAAGTATTACTTGATATTAAAATGACTTTAAGAAGGAATTAATTAATTCCGATTATTTAACGAGATATGTACTCTACAAACATACAGCCAAAAACTGAGTCAAATTTTTTAGCAATTATTTTCATTCTTATTATCAATATTCATTTCAAAAAGGGTATACATTAAATTAAACTTTACAACTGCATTATTTAAACGGGCATGAAGGGTTAAAATTAAGTTCATAAATAGAGATATTAGCAAAACAGTTTTATTTGCTTATAATAATAGTCGCATCTTACATAATAATTTAATACTTGTTCGTTATTCTATTGACTAGCAACGTTCGATTCTTTTAGTGGTGGTAGATTGGGGCGGAGTACGCGACGGGTGCAGCGTGCACAACTGGGGCAGCATGAACAACGGGGGCGGCGTGCACAACTGGGGCGGCTACCTTAGCGATGGGCGCGCCAAGAGGCTCCTTGTGTACCACCGCGTTGAAACCGTTATGAGGGTCCGAAGTGTAATCTACGGTGCGCTTGGTGCCATCAGGATCGACTACGGAGTAGGAGCCCTGGACTACGTCACCGTCGCGGGTCTCGTGCTGCGATTTGGAGTCCCCGGTGAGACCGTCCTGAACGTCGTACGCAAAGCTGTACTGGGGGTGCGCGTCGAAGTCCTCCACGGCCTTGGCGATGGGGGCGACGGCGACTTTCGCAATGGGGGCGGAGTATGCAACGGGGGCGGCGTGGACCACCGGTGCCGCATGTACAACTGGGGCGGCCGCGTAAGCGACTGGGGCCGGGTGCGCCGCGTAGGACACGGGCGCTAAAACGCCGGCCTGTGCTGCAGCGATGGCGCACACCAGAAGTACGAGCTGCAATAGATAGAAAAAAAAGGATTTTCATAACTAATATGAGTTTTCCTTAAGATTTATTCAATGATAAGACATGCTCTACGGTTTAAGGTACATTGAAAATGATAAAAGTGAAGAAGCCTTAAAGTAATATATCTTAGAAACTTCGATACTTAGAATGCTTTTTAAATTAATTCTGAATATACGTTGTTTGAATCGGGTATGAATCAATGTTTAAATGTATACAAAAAAAGTAATAACTGTAATAATTAAAAGGAACTTAACCCACCTTGAAAGCCATTTCATAGGGTTGGACTATGACTTCACTATGAGAGGACCACAAATTAAATGTGCCTCGGATAAAGCATCTCGGAGTTTTTATATCGCCTCGTCTCTGCCCCGGGCGTTGCATTATGTTATTGTGCTTGCGCTCACGCTGTACTATAAACCGGTCGCTTTTAAGCGTTTCGCCACACGACGATATTTATAGGCGTCTATATCCTACCGAAACGGCTGGCATTATATGCTAACAAGATCATGTGGGCATATGATTGATCTGCGGCTTAAAGAGCACTTGAATATTAATGGACGCGGCTTTCTTTAAGCGAAACGTCCTTGCGCCGCTGGATTCATTGTTCATGCATCTATGTTTTCATCTTGATCTGATGTAACTAGGTCGTTCACATGCACACGCCGAGTCAATTAAAATTAAACTATTTATCAAAATCATCTCATGTTTTCAAAATTTGAACAAATAATGTCGGGCAGATTCAGGAAAAAGGATATATTCGAGTCATGTTATGAATATTCCTTCATAACATGACTCGAATACTTCAATAAATCCTAGCTAGGGTAATATGGTAATGCTCGACTTAAATTATATTTAGCAAACTGCTAGTCGGAAACGTCAGATAGAGATCTCCCAATGCTCGATGGCAAATTTTTAACGTAGAAAAATTGTAAACATTTAATTATAGTGTAACTTATGCATACAGAATTTAATTTTTTGAAGTGAAAATACGACTTAAGGTGGAACTTTATACCGTTTATAATCACAATCATTGTCAATACCTAACCTTGGGTGCGTGTGGGCCCATATAAAAAATTACATGCTCTTAATCTTAAAAATCTACCGTACATTTCAAACCTAAAGTTCTAACTAGAACTAATAGCACTTCATTATCTTTATGTTCTGATAAACTCGGAAAGGCTAACTAGAAGAGACAACCTAGAGACCAGTTCGCAAACACGTCGATCCAGTACACCTGTTGGGGGTGTACCAACTTATTAAACTCTTCCGAGGTTTTATTAAGTTTAAGTTGCCAAATTTAGTGACCTCTCCAGAGGCTTCTTTCAGGATACCTAAAAAGAGAGTATACTTATCGCCGTTCGCAAACCGAACAAACCACCCAACCACCCAGCTAACTTTCGCCTCATCTGCCTCCTCAGTTGCTTAGGGAAGCTTATGAACGCATTTATTTAAAAGCTTAAAGGATTCTCCAACGACCTTATTCCGTTCGTCTACCATTTCGTGTAGGCGTTCGACGTAATCTGGCACGAGGACAAGGTCGTGGACACCATCAGAGCCTACCTTTCTACGTTGTTTTCGATACCGAGTAGACTTCTACTATCTTTTCACTAGCCGTCCCTCACAGCTGGCATTCCTCAAGGTTCTTACCTCTCCCCTTTTCTCTTTTCGCAATACACGATCGTCATCCCTTAGGAACCACGTGTCGAACTCTCATTTTTTGTGGATAACACAGTCCTATTCTGTCCGTCAAAACAGAAAATTTGGGCAAATCACTTTGTACTGCGATGCGACAATCATGATAAACGCGATACACTATATCCAAAATGATTTATTTCTGGTAAATAAACCTTCATCTACCGCGTAACACTCCGAGTTGACAGATGATTTGCCCACCAGTTAAGCGGCCGATGCCTTCACGGTGCGAAAATCTATCTACGTTCTTTATTGCATTATGCTTTGCGCCATCTAGTGTGCATACTTTACAGTCTAAAAATTCACATATATCCCTATTGAAGTAGTTTGTCTTCCCCTACGATCACGGCGAAACTAACACATCGCGTACCCACAAGGCGGATCCGTCAGCCTACGATTAATACAACCAACATCCATTGGGGTCACGGTCCGTACCGTACTTCTATGACCTGTGGGTTATATTCCCTATAGATAACGCACGCATTATCTCATTCGCAGCTCTGAAGCTTGTGCTGTCCTGAAGCTTTGAAATCTATGGACTGAAAGCAAAAATATCAGCCGAAGTGAAGTAAAGTAACATTTGAAACTATGTCCTCAGATCGCAAATGAAATTCCACAGATATATCGATGACCACAAATGACAAAAAACCGTTACAACTATAACGGTTACTTAAATGTTTCTTCTTCTAGTGTTTCTTCTTTTTTCAAGTCACTTAAAAGCTGTAAATCTCAGTGATGTTTAAAGTTGTTAATTTTGTGTGCTAATGTGTATGCATATAAACTTAAAACTGTGACTATGAGAGAAATTAAAAGGTCAGAGATAATAGAAAGGCAAAAACAAATAATTTTCTTGCTACCTCTTTTGAAAAAAAAATGCTTTAATTTGTAGTTTAGTTATTCACCTTATTAATATAGTGTAATGTATCTAGCATATATCGCTAGTCTTTAATTATAATCAATTACATTGTGATATAATTCTGCAAAAACAGCACCGAAGGGGCTTCGAATAAAAATGACTTAATTACGTCATAAAAATAGAGAAAAAACTTTTTATGTTGTGACATTGCACGTTCTTCAAAATTAACATGTTCATATTTTTACAGTGTCACGGACTTATCTGTAGAATGTAAAGACGGCGCCACGATTGAAAGGGGTCGCCACAAAAATAATATATATCACAATAACACATAAACAACTTCTGCCTTTTCTGATACTCGTAACTAGGAACTACATGATGAAATATGAAAAACATGCCTTTTTACTATTCGCCTCCTTGCTCCCTATTATAGATTAAAGTACATATAAAAATGCATGATAGAGATTATACATTATGTCAAAAATTAAAAATAATAATTATCACGTCAAATTAACGTCTTGCATACGCTTGATCGATAATCTAAACTAGAATTTGTGACTATTTACTTTGTCAACAAAGAAACAAATCAAGTGAGTTTAATTTTTAAAAGGTCTAAGTCATGCGTAAATACTATATACTAAATATAATGGTAAATGTAAATAACTTTAACTCCGGCGTAATTCGATTAAAATAAATTTTAAACGATAGATAAAAATCACTAATGAATTTATCAACAAGCAGAATTCGGCGGTCGCTTATAGTTTTCGAAAAAATAAATAATGAAATAGTGTGATTTTTACTATAGAAATCTGCCATTTTTTGTTGTCAATTCTGCTCGTATTTCTTGGTGGTCATAAAAAAAATAACCTAACATCGAAGGTTAAGGCGGGAGCTCCGCTCCCGCCTGAACCTTCTAACCTAATCTATCCGAGTCGGATTCGCTCTGTGTCGGTTCTGTGACGCATTAAATTAAAAAAAATCGGACTATCGATACGAGTATGATGTCGCCCGCTTCCTATATTTATCATGTTGGCAGAACTGTGTATTGAGTTTTTGAAGTGAAATAAATAAAATGGTGGATTTCTTAGTAAAAATAACAAGTTTTAAATATTTTTTTTCTCGAAAACTATAAGCGGCCGCCGAATTCTGCTTGTTGATTAATTTATTAGAGATTTTTCTCTATTGTTTAAAATTTATTTTAATTGAATTACGGAAGAGTTAAAGTTATTTACATTTGCCAATATGATATAATAAGTGATAACACACTTAACTAATCATACTTAACAAAATTATAACCATAAGTAAACAGAGAAATCTGAGGACACATTTGGAATTAAGTTTTATATAAATTTTATGTCTTTTCTAGCTAAAGCATTATCGGTATAAAATGACAAAGAAGAGAAAGCTCCTCGATACCTTTAATTTCGCAACCTAATAAATATACGACATTAATGTATTCTTATAATTTGCCCTTGTTATTTATGACCTAAGTTTTCTTCCCACGGACCGCCTAAAACAAATGAATAGGCAATATTGTATTCTTGTATGTTTGGTCTCTTTTTCATTTGGATAGCTTTTGCCTTTTTAACCGACTTCAAAAAAGTTCAAAAAGGTTTCTCAATTCGAACGTATATATTTTTATTTTTTTTTTGGGTGTCGGGGATAACTTTGTCACTTATGAACCGATTCTGATGATTCTTTTTTTGATGGGAAGGAGATATCCCAAGTGTAGTACCATGACAAGGAAACCCGGATTTGTTGATGGTATCCCAGAGAAATCGGGGGCAATCCTCAAATTTTATCGGTTGGACAATGTTTTTTAGTTTCCTGTTTGAAGTCGGTTTTTTTTTCAAAATTATTGTAGAACACTATTATGACATACTATGAGTAACGGTTTTTAGCCGCTTTTTTCATCATTATTTTAATAATCTATTCCTTTATTGACTTTATAGGTGTTGTTGGCTTTTTACCATCATGTGGGGGAAACGCGCGCTTTTGTTGCTTCGTTCGGGAATGAGATTAATGAGCAAAATGCATGACCACATGGATCACGTCACAGGCTTGGAGAAACGCGAACTGTTGGCACATCTCGCCGGCGATTGCGACCCATTTCGTATGCTTGCCATTAAAAAAGGTTATTATAACTTATCAAAAGTTTCGTATTATATTACCTATACACCGGGGATATATGTAAATTATGCACATATTTTCTGCATATACGTAAATTATGATTTATAATTGACATGGCACATAGTTTGTGTATGAAAAGTAAATTTTTCTAGAAGCAGAGATTCAATTTCAAATGTAGATTCATTCATAAGAGTAAAATTTGTATATAGATCTTGATTGTTTCATAAGCGGTATTAAAATGTAGCGTAATGTAAAGGCATTTATCAATTTTAATTTGATACGTCGTGGTAGTAAATATAAAATAAATGTGTGTGCATATTTTTTCAATGCCACAGAATTTACACACAGACAGAATGTACACTAATTAATTTATTTCTCTAAATAATCCTCCTCCTAAACATACGTTACGTTATAATTTAATCGCTACGTCAGTCCAGTAGTCCCAAATAATTATCAGGCTAATTACCTGGCTGGGTGTGGAAATGCTCTCTTAAATACTTGTACGAGGTAACCGTAAGATACGTGTTTACAGGGCCAGGAACTTATGAATGTCCCAACTTGATCCCGAGCGCCTTCAACAAGCGCATTGTGGGCTGCGTTTGCCACCCGGACACAAACCACATCGAGTACATGTGGCTACATCTAGGCGAGCCGAAGAGGTGCGGCTGCGGCTATTGGTTCGAACTTTGCCCTATAGCACCATTATAAGTTGACCTCCACTGTAATTTCCACTATAATAAGACCATATATTGACATGAGCATTGCAATTTATACATTTTGTTTTAATGCTTTGTTTTATTACTTCCGTTTCTTACTATATAAGTTTAAAACTACATCTTATGAATTATTTTGCTGTAGTCATGTTTTATTTATTTAGATTACTAATTTAACGAACTTTGTGTATATTTGTGGCTTCGGTACTTGTGGCATTTAAATTAAAATTAAAATTTTTAATAACGTCGAAATTAAATCTGTGACATTATTCCACTCATCACATGAAAGCATTAGGATGAGTATTTCGGAATAGCCTATCTAATCTAAAGGCGCTAGATTTTAAAATCAGATTTTAAAATGGAATAATGATTTTTTAAGCAAAACTTTGCCAAAAAGTCAAAATATTTTTAACCTTATATTTATTATAATATAACAATTTCACACCCGTAAACCGTGCCCAACCAATATCGTTAAGGTAACAAGTAATTCAGTTAGTATTGAATATTGTAAACTATTATTTTTTCAATAAATTGTGATCCATTATTCACGAATGTACAGAACGTAAAATATGAATAAAGTCGATTAAATATAAGTTGATATCACAAACAACCTACTACCAAGTGTGACCCTTTGCTAGACATACAAAAACGTACGCTCATTCTTGTACAAAAACTAAACACCTCGACTTTATTTATTTCTACTGACAACATTCCAAGCTGAAATTTAGAGCAACAGTTAAGCAACCTGCGAGCTGTGGCAAGATATCCTTCAAAAATTTTGTTAAACCGATTATTTAATGTATTCAACAAAGACTTCAGTTTCTTAGCATGTATATTTCTTAAAGAAACAGTCTATAAGCGTTTTGTCTTGTGGATTTCTGTTCGTCATAAAAGTACTAGTTCTTAAAAACCCTTAAACTCAGTGCTATATCTTTAATTGTTTTGTCTCTCGACCGTTCCGTGGATAGCTTTCTGTTAGACCTTGCGGCTATATATGTGACAAAGGCCACAAATTATTATCTACATCTATTTGTACGGTCTCTGAGAGCATATATATAACATGGCTCATATGTACCCCTAATAACCTGAGAGCCCTGATATTAAAAAAATACATTTACTCAACATCAGCTCATACAGTTTAGAAACAAATCAATGTTTCATTTGAGTAGGAATCACATAAGTAAAGAATTCGGAGATATGGTACTGCATCAAGAATTTATTTATCTAGCATTGGACTAGGCTGAAATGATGATGCTGATGATAGCAAGAAGGGGTGACAAAGGAGATCTAAATATGATACACCCACCTACTCTAGGTCTGCTGTGAATTAGAAGATTGTATGACAACTTAGTCGCAATGGACAAACATGTTGTTGCCAGCTACGGTTGTCTAAAATAGTGTTTGAAAGAAAGCTAAATGGTATAGAATACCTGGTAGCCTGCTATTATCAGATAATTCTAATATTCACATAATTCAGGCTATATTAGGGGAGAACATAAGCTATATTTAAGATTTACCAACTTAAGCGGTCAAGAAGATGAATTTAAAACCGGCCAAGTGCGAGTCTGACTCGCGCACGGAGTACCATTACCTATAGAAACGGCAAAAAAATCATGTCTATTGTATGGGAGCCCAAATTCAAGGGAGGCCATCAACTCAAATGTTTATATGTTAAAAAAAAATTATTTAATTTTTCATACCATGTCACCTTTTCGGTGGCCACTAAAATTAATTTGGCCTAATACGTAAAAGATTACTCTGGTCATAAAGCTAGGAAATTGATTTTAATATAAAATAATTAAAATTTAATTTCAATCTAATATTTTTTTTTGTTGTTTAATTATGTGACAATACATAATTTCACACCCTGTCTCGCGTGCCTACACGCTCTATACGAGCAATATCTCAACACCGAGAGGATAGTGTTTTTACAGGCATACTCTTAGTCCGTGTAACCATTGCAGAAAATAACCTAGATATTTAATTACAATTATAACAAAGGGCACATAGCAATTTTCGCCTTATGATCGATACCTTGGGGGAGGAAGAAAGAAGGTAAAAAACCTAGAAAATATCAGAGAGGGAAGAAATGTCAAATACTTATAAGTTCATCATATTATTCCGTACACTTTATAAAGAATGGTAAGTGGTAGAAGTAAAAAAAAAAGTGATCACATCAGTCATGAATATAAACTTTACTTCTATTTATTATGCGTTGGAGAAGTTGCTGGTGCAATTCTACTTTTACAGAAAATAATAAGCTTCATCCTTCAAAGCTCTCAAGACATATTGATTCGAAAATAAGACTGAGAAATTACAGTATACTTTTCATCTCACGCTATCTAAATTGCATATATGCTTCATCATCATCCTTCAAATCTGGCTGCTGCGATATTATACTTTTTGTAAGTGTATATCATTTAAAAAAAGAAATTTTAAGATTAACTGCGGCAGTTTTAACTGTTGCACGAATGGACAGGTCCATCTGGGTAAGTACCACGACCTCACAGAAGACTGGCGTAAAGTGTGTTACGCTTCTGCGTTTCGTCTGGTGAGTAAAAATAAACTCGCGTTCCAGAGTGATTCTCACTCCTCCCAGCTAACTATTATGTACATAAATAATCATTGGCTTCCATCTCATTAGACAGAACTTCCATTCAAAAGCGAGTTTTTTTTTTTTTTGGAATACATAAATATTTATTTTCTTAAGTTTGCCGGAACCCGGTTGCTTGTAGATAGGTGGTAGTACATTAAACGTTTCTTATATTCTCCCTCCTACTTTTCACATATGAAAAAGAACGTATCCCGGGAAAAATACGGTTGCAATTTTTTTTTGTTCGTGACATTTTGTATACAGATTTTGTTTTAAAAGTTACTGGAGGGTCACCTATATACCATACCTGTCCTAAATCTGTTGCTTTTTCTAGTAGAGTATGATTCGATCTATGGTATATTTTTACACTCTACCTGTTGTAATATTGGGTGATAGTTTCTTTTTTTTTAACTTTCTTATTACGTATTATAAAATTCAAATGTTGGTGGTTACTTTTGGTACACACTAACGAAGCTCCCATATGGTAGAGACCTGCTTCCGTGATGTTATGTAGTTGAGACGTGCCGCAAGCGAGACTAGTTAAAGTAAGTAAAACGTGGCTAGCATTGGCTATCAATACTGTCGACGACATAAGATCTAATAATTTTCAACAAAAAAAAACCGATTTCAAACCGGAAACTAAGAAAAACATTGTTGATAACTATAACATTTGAGGATTGCCCTTGATTTCTCTAGGATGCTATCATTAGATCCAGGTTTCCTTATCATGGTACCACACTTGTGGATTTCCCCCTTCCAACAAGAAAATAATCATCAAAATCGTTCATAAACGACGAAGTTATCCGCGAACACACATAAAAAAAAAATAAAAATATATACTGTCGAATTGAGAAACCTCCTTCTTTTTTGTAGGCGGTTCAAAACGTGAAGAATCTTATTTAATAAGGAAAACTGTAAAAACTGGATGGAGCTAAGTCGGACCATTATCTATATGAAAAAAAAAACATCTATTTATATAATTTATGTCAACGAACAATTCTTGTGTGTGTATATATATATATATATATATATATATATTCTGAGCCTCGGAAACGGCTAAAATAATTTTTATTAAATTTAGTATGCTGGTGGTTTCAGAGGTGATAAATCGATCTACCTAGGTTTTATTTTTAGAAAACCTCGTTTTATCCTTATTTTCAGGCAATGAAAAACTGTTACAATATCATAATAATACAAAGGTAAATTTCGCCACCATCAACATGGTTACAATACTCGTAGCTCAGATGGGAAATCGGGTGGTCCCCAAACTAGAAGACCCCGGTTCGAGTTTAAATTTTTTTCCCTTTTTTTTCAAGTTCTATCTTTCAAAACCGAGCAAAGCTCGGTCATCCAGCTGCTATATAGTTAGTTGTCGATGATGTATGTATAAAAATATAGGATTTCTGTATCCAAATGCCAACATGTATTGGCTAGCTTTACGTCCAGAACTTAAAGCTATGCTCAAACTTTGTTTAATATTTGTGAAGATTATATAGATATAACGTCACTCCTATTCAATTCTTGGCTACAATAAATCTTTAAGAATTTAATACCATCAGAAGGTAAAATGTAGGGAGCTACATTTTAATAATGTTATATTTATTTTAATTATTCTTAAAGTAACTTGAGTTAATTTATTATGGCTGTGGATTGATGATAAGCTATGGTTACATAAGTTGTGGTAGGGCCACGCAACAGTCCTCGCTGTTGCGCGAATGGCAAGTCGAAATAAATCAGTGGATCTTGGAATGTAATGTAATCGTAAGAAATATTTATTTATTTGTCAATTTTTAGAATTCCATTAAAAAAAATAGAAGCAGTTGCTGGGTCAGAACACTACCAATGAAGTAGCGGAACAATACTACATGCTCGTATAACACTAGCGTACATTGTGAGTAAGTAAGGTCGCAGAGAGAGTCCATTCGCTGACCCACTTCCTCGAACAACCTTGAAGTTGGCCGGTACACCGCTCCTTAGCCTTGTTAAATTATCCTTTTATTTTTTTAAATAACCAATCACGGCAAAAACCTTAGTTCGCGCGATAAAAGAAACCTAATTAGTTATGCTACAGAAGTTTTTGTTAGACACTATGGCTCAAATCTAAATTAAATAATGACATGAGTCTTTGTCGTACTCTAAGTTTTACAAGGGCAAAATACTAACACATTATGCAATAGAGTTCCGCCTAAGTTTCTTATATCTATGGATTAAAAAGAAAAATAGGAACAAAAATTTATTGAAAAATTTAATAAAATTTAATGATGGAAAAAATAATTGTATAATGTACAAATGTAAATTTATTCTCCCCAAAACATTGTAATTGTTAGTGACTAATTAATATCACAATAAGAACCAGGAAAGTAAATGTTCCCGTTCAAATAGTAAAGTAAGTAAAGTAAATTACGCTCACTGCTTGGTACTATAATATACTGCTTTCAGTTGGTAAACAATAAAAGCAAAGTGAAACCTAAATTCTATTTGTATGATACCCTTTGTTGGCTACAAAATACTCGCCATCTTTTAATGCTGGTTTGTTCGGTCTTACATTATTGCCTGGTGTGAAGAATACTGGGTTGGTTTTTGTAGTCGGCAGATAGGTGGCGCTTGGGTACAGCTTATGGAAGTGAATGGGAGATAGGCGGCCAATGAAAGCTGGTGGTGGTCTGTAGCCGTCGCTGGGGACTTGCACGTTCGCCGGTTCATTATGGACGACCGCTTTGAACCCTATTCTCGGTCCGGCGGTGTACTTAACCGTTCGCCTGGTTCCATCCGGGTCGATTAAGGAGTAGGAGCCTCTCACAATGCCACCCTGCCTCACTTCGTGCAGATTTTTCGCGTCGCCTGTCGACGGGTTAACAACGTTGTACGAGTAATTGTACTCCGTACTCGTGGGCGGATAGTCAGTAACGATGATACTCACCACCGCTGGGACGACGCACACGCATAGCAACACCTGCAACATGACGCGATTAATAAAATTGCACCGTGAGAAAACAGAGGTTCGATGAGAATTAGGGGTGATTTTTACCCTCAGCATCTTGCAAACCGGCCCGTCTATTGGTTTTTGTCTTAATGGCCCACGCAATCGCGCCGGCGGTCGTATTTATAAGCCAGCGTTCACTCGAATGTTCCGCGTTGCGCACCTCGCCGGTATTGTCACAGAGTAAGGCACCTGCAAAAGAATCGAGCTTTGGTAACGGCGTACGCAGTTTTTTCTTATAATATTGGATACGACAAGTTACTCGAATGCGCAATGGTGGGGCAAATAGGGACTTTAGTAGTTAACGACGAACCAACACGCAGAGATAAAAAAAAACTAAAAAACAACACAATACAAAAATATATTAAGCCATGTGTCGAATGATAATGTTCATGTTGTATTTATTATTCTGTGCACTTTACATAAATGAAGGTATTTCCCATAATATATACAACTGACGTAACTCTAACTATACAGTATAGCGTAAGCACGATTTTATGGGAATGCTGTTAATTATAGAAACTAATAATAATAGGCTTTCGAAACAGATAAGAAGACGAAGTATCTGGACCTGGCTCACGAGGTGACCGACATGTGGGGTGGTGTGCCGACCGAAATTATCCCGATAGTCGTGTCTGCGAATGGGTTGATCCCAGTCAGCCTCTCTAAACATTTGAGGCGACTGGGACTCCGGGACGGATCGCTCCAGGCTCAAATGCAGAAGGCGGTGCTCCTCGATACCGCCCGCATCGTCCGCCGGTTTTCCCTTCGCCCTAACTCTCGTTTTGGTCTCCCCTGCCGAGGGCTTCCGTCTGTTTCCTATTTATATATGTATTATATAAAATATTTATATATATATATATATATATGTTTATTTTTATCCATAATATTTATTTTATATATGCAATATATATCTATATCTTTATTTTTATTTTTATTTATAAACCCAACCAGACGAGAAAACAAATGAATAGGCTTTCAGCTTTTTCTAAAAAATTGCTTTAACTTTGTCAAAATAATCAATTAATTTTATTATATTTTCTAAGTTATTTTTTTGTTTATTAAGCATATAAAGTTAAACACCATACCCTAAAATTAAAAAAAAATTAGTTTAGCACCCAATAAAAACAATTATTATAAAGTTTTTAAGTATTCATTCCCGACAGCCAAAATTGGGTGTATTTAATGCTCCACAACCGACACGTTCAGTAATCAAATAGTAACTGGAATAAATGCAGTCCATCTTATTATTTATGTCTCGTCATGTCCCAAAAGTTTAGCGTCATACATTGGAATATATACAAACATCCGATAGGTTTGTACAATTCATAAAATCGTTCCAACTATAATAAGAGTTAAAAGTTGACTTTCACTTGAATTATTTTAGCGGTCAATTCGTTGTTTTAAGTCCAAAAAAATTATTAAAAGATTTACGACACACGTTGAGTCCGAGAAAGTGTAAGCTTGTCCCACGGTTTCGAAGTTTGCAAGCGCAATCTTTTTAAAAGAATTTTTATTTATTTTCAGTTTTATTCACAATGGATAGATTGTTTTCAATGACGAATGATTATAGATTATATTTCGTCACGCATAATACGCTCTCGGCGCAGCTTTTAATATTAGGGCTGTTACCATATCTCAGAATTTTGCATCAAACAGCCTTCAAAATAACTGTAAATAATGTAGTAACATAAAAAGTTCTTATAACGATATCTCACAAATACTTATATTAAATCTATCCCAAATTTTAAATTGAGTTAGAACTTTTTAATAGCGATCAATTCAAAGATTTTTGTTATTTATTTTATAACTATATGTAAGCATAAAAGTTATATATCACTAGCAAACCCGGCCAACGTTGTTTTGCCATATAAATTAATTGTAGGGTAGAAAAAAAATTAGGTTTGGTCCACTCTTAACATTTAGGGGGATGAAAAATAGATTTTGTCCGATTCTCCACCCTGGCCGATTTGCACACAAAATTTCACGAAAATCAGTTGAGCCGTTTCCGAGGAGTTCAATTACAAACACCGTGACAGGAGAATTTTATATATTAGATAAATACGTGTAAGTACAAAACATAAATTCTGACAACATCCGAATTGAAACTCTGGGCCATGTGAGCCTGAAACAATAAAACAGTAAAAATTTACGCAAAGATAAGATTAAGGCTTGTTCGTTTTCCTTCTCTGTTCTCTTGAAAACGGGTCAACGGAAATGCACGAAGGGTTCCGCACCATCTGTAATAAACTAATTGGTAAGTACCTATAGGTTCACTAGCAACCACCTCGCGTTTGTTGTATGGGAGTCTCCTTTTTTTATGCTGTTTTTAAGTATTTTTTGTTATAGCGGCAACAGTAATACATCATCAGTGAAAATTTCAACTGTCTAACTAACACGGTTCATGAGATACAGCCTGGTAATAGACGGACAGACAGACAAACGGACAGATGGACAGACAGACAGCGAAGACAGTAATAGGGTCCCGTCTTACCATTTGAGTACGGAACCCTAACCCACCTAACCACACATATTTATATATCTCATAATACGTTACTCATACATTTCGTTATATGATCAAATTTATATCGTTATATAATTAATCATAACTAAAACCAGATCAAGTAATCGACGAAAAATAGTTATTTAAGACTAATTTTAAATACGTCAACTTTTGTTTATAAAGGAAAAACATTACGTAACATTACCAACAGATCAATTGCTGTTCACAACGGTATCCTCAATGACCGGGTCGAATAATCTTTACTTTGGAGAAAGATAAACTTCCGTAAAATATATTCAACAAAAACATTATACACAACCCTGACTCTTATGTAGTTAAAAAAGTTAAGTAACTTACGAAGTTGTTTAGATGCAACTGCCTCGTCCGAATAACCAACGTTTTAAATTACAAGAATGTAGTTCTTTTGACAGAAACATCTATGTTTACACAACGATTATTTCAATTTAGATGATCAAACTTTGGATTGTACTATTATGTTATTCGTACAATATAACATTATCTACTATTAGCGTGGTAAAAACTTATTACCTCAAATAATGGTACAAAAATTTTAATGTTACTTTATATCAATTAAAGACACAATCCCAAAATTCGTGATATTGGTACTAGAATTATTTTAAGCTTGTATTATGTGCAATTTTGTTTTCATTAAAAATGCTTCGTTTACAAAAATATTTTAGATGAAAATTAGTGAAGTGAATTAATGTAATGTATTTTTCTTTTACAATAAGGCTGATATTTGCGACCACTCTTCAGAATAAAACACTGTGCATATTTAAATATTATAATTTATTTATTTACGTTGTTGTGGCTAAGTCAGTTTAGGTGGAAAAAAATAAGAATATATGTCTCAGTAAGTTAATACCTGCAGAAAATACGGAAGTTCCATAAGCTGAAACGTAAATATACTTCCTTTAAAAACGAATGCAATTAAATCTGCACGATAATATAACAAAAACATTTATCTATATGTAATGGGATTTCCTCGTAATTACCGAATCATTTATTCATTCAAACAAAACTCCTTATTATGCAGCTTATCTACTAGGGAAAATTGACTGCTGATACTCTCAATGCATAAGACTACGGCTTAAACAGAATTTTCGAAGTGAAAACTTCTTTGGTCACGTTGGACACTTTTGGGATAGGGAAGCACTGAAATAGCGTGAATCATCACTCTCAGATACATGTTATTGATGAAAGTAATGTTGAAAATCCATTCGATGACTCCATAGCGTAGTTCGCGAAGGTATTGATTTCGTCGTCGGGGATCGTGGGTTCGATTTCCACACGGGACAACTATTTGCGTGACCCATAGATAGTTGATCGGCATCTGGGTGTTTATGCACGTAAAATTTATGTATGTAAAACGGCCCACACAAAACAGGGTAATATTATCCTAAAATATGAGCAATGTTTAAAAAAAAGAAAAAAAAAATATCCACACTCTCCAACAGCGTCATCTTCTCCTCGGATTTAAATCATAAAAGTTTTATAGTACTGATCTCTGCACTTATGATGAAACATTAAAATTTCTAGAAAAATTGTACGAAAAGATTTTCGTTGCTACGCGAATAGAACCGAGGTGGGTTTTATGTTCTATGGAGGTGGGTTCCGGATTCGCGCCCAGACGCTCCAACCTCTAAGCTATTTTATCTACATTATTTTAATATGTAAGTATGTTAACAACAACAAACAATTTAAAATAACGTGAGTTAGATTCCCGCAGCGGCGAAAACCTTTCGTTCAATTTTTTCTTCGAAATTGAAATAAATACATTGTTTTCTGATAAACCTCATACGTGTACGGCTTATTTATTATTTCTTATGTACATTTATTATTTGGTCACAAATAAAAAATATAATGAATAACATTCATAAAAATATAATTGCTAAATAACATTCAGCAATTATATTTTTATGTTAATTTAATAGTTAGTGTATTTAAAACGTTTTTATAGAAACACGGTTAAAGGCTTTTCAGGTTCAAATTAATAATTTTTGTTTAAATACTAACATTATCATAATATGTGAACTAGTGTATCTTAGCAACATGTACAAATAACAGTTTCTGGTTGTAGCACAATGATTTTGTGCTACAACCACAAACTGGATATTACTTTTCAAATTTAATAGTAAATAATAAATAGTTCGTTGTTAGTTAACGACCCTTTAGATTGTTCTATACTGAGCGCGTTGAACTCTTTTGTAGTGAAATAACGAAGTAACAAAAACTTGACTTTTTTTTTCAGTACAGTAGATAGTATCTGTATAAATTTATTTTAGTATAAAAAATATAAACAAACTTTCTTTTAATCTCTTAATGACGCCTGATACAACATATCGTCTATTTGTTAAAACATAAAGGCTTTCAATATGTTGTCAAAACGTGGCTGAATGACTTCATCAGGTATTATTGTAAAGGACCCGCTTAACTTAACAGTTTTGTTGACGCAGTTAACAAATTCATGCTAAAGAACATTTATCCTACAGAATTACGTGTTACTGAATTTTCAATATATTTTTAGTTGACAAGTATATTCTAGGCCTTTATGTTAGGTGTTATAAGTTAAATAAGTTGTTGTAATGCAATTATAAATTAAAATTAAAAGCTTCTCGAAATACGAAGTCATTTCTTGGTACGAAATATATACCGTAAGTGATATAATAAAAAATGTAAGTCAAGCTTAACGTGCCAAATGTCCTAAGTGCTGAAGAACTGACATAAAATGTAACAAGTATTTAATTATAACGCATTGAGGAATGTAACGTCATCTAGCCACAACAGTTTAGGTGGGTTGGGGTCACGTCAAACAGTTATTACCTGTCTACATTTATGATACATACATATGTGGGAATGTTTTGCACACATGCACTATTTATTATACTTGTAACACAACATATGCTTAGGTTGACACTCTTGACTTACTTCTCCGGTGAAAGGATGATAAAAATCAAAATAAATAAATACAGATGAATTATTCCCAACCCTCCCCCCACCCCCCTACAAGTATGTGGGCATATGTGCAAAAATAAAACATAATGAGAAATGATACTTGTTAGGCGTCTTTGGTGTACCAAAACAAAAAAAGTCCAAACAAAGGGTTGTTTCATTTTGAATATTTTGAGCATATGCATATTTCTAAAACAACTTTATCGACTAACATCACGGTATTAAATCAATACAATTTTAGCATGAAAATAATAAATGATTTTTTTTGTTATTGTTACAATACTTTTTTGATTTTATTTGTTTTTGTTGTAATTTCTTTTTTTTTTATTTAACTTTATTTTCTGTTTCATTCCGTGTGATTCCGATATTCTTATAAGAGGAAACTTAACTGGTGTTCGAATAAACTATCTTAATAAATAAAAATTTATGTTGGTAAGCACATAACTCAAGAATGGCTGAACAAATTCGGCTGATTTATTTTTTGTATGTTACTTAAAGTCCACGGAAGGATTTAATACTATTAAAAAAAAGAACGAAGTCTATCCGGGCAGCTAGTTTACAATAATTGTAAATGTGGTGTACACTGTTTCCCAAATAAAACAATCAGTAAATTTCAAAAAATTATCCTAGGATTTCTTTAAAAAATCACCTAAAACAAATGGAAAATGAAAAAGAGCTATTTACATTTATTTGAGAAATTTGTTACTTTCCTACAGCCTATACATGTCGCACTGCTGGGCAAAGGCCTCCTCTATATAGAGAGTATCAGGGCATAGTCCATTACGCGGCCCCACTGCCTATTGGCGGATTTACTTTCCTATATGGCAGGCAATTTATTCTCATCAGTAGATCTATGGCCGTGGAAGAGCTGAAAGGGGAAGAGGAGGAAACTCCTCGCGGAAAACGAATATCCCTAATCTCTTCCCAAATATTTTCCTCGAGGTGCAAGTGGACTTTTAGTTCTGACAACCCTAATCATTTCGACGATAAATAATGGCAAGGTATAACAACCGAACGAAATATGGTATTACTCACATTTAACTAGTTGTTTTATACAACTTACATTATATTATTTAACACATGAATATTTAGAACACGTTTGATGCTGTGTATGTCAATAGCGTAAAGATTGGAATTCGATATAGGCAGTTAGGAGATTGCTATCGTAAATTATTACTTACGCGTTTAATGTGTCATGTCAAAGTATTTGAGTTACGCCAAGTTTGTGCTCTTACTTAAGTTATTTGAACTATATTATTAAAAATACCCTGTAATTATTTCATTTATTATTGATATCTATAAAGTATTGTTCCACTATTTATTTATTTATATAACATAAGCTGTGAATTTTTCAAGCATGAATAAAAAATTAATACGAAAAAATGGAATGATATATTTAAGAAAATTCTTTTCATTCACACAAAACATAAGATCGGTTACATGTTTTATTTTTCAAAAAGACGATGAGTACCTAGATAATAAAATATAAGTGGACAGGTAGAATTAATACTCTATATACCAATGTAGTTTAATAAGTAACTAAGTATTATTTTTTTTCTCTTGTAATTATTAATTAAGTTATTTATTTAAAGGTGAAATCAAATATAATTTTACTTTCTTTAAAATTATCAAAGAGATTAATTATTGATATATTTAAGCTCATATTAACGTAAGTTTCAGTTTTTCAGACTGGATGCTGTATAAAACGTTACCGATACGGAGTCCGTGAAAAGCTAGTTTCCATAAGCAGTGTTTATTTAAGCGTTATTATGATTCATAATTTATGAGGTAGTGTGTACCAACTCTCTTTGTACTATTTATAACGGATTCAAATGATCTAGTTTATGCTTAAAGAAAATACTCGAGTTATAATACACAATACCATAAAACTGAAAATAAAAAAACAACTATTCGATTCCTCTAATTTATTACCTTAGCATTAACATATTAATTTAAATAGAACACTATATAATAGACAAACACATCGACGACATTATAAATAAGGCTCAGGTCACTTTAACGACAGAATACGCTTGCTTAAACGGATCAAAAGTTACGTTATTTATTAGACAAAAACCAAAACCTCGAAATATCGGGAGCACGGTTAGTGGCGCTGGCTTAAAAACTTAATCGTCCTTTAAGGCAATAGGTATGTTATCGTTGGTTATAACATTCCACACCGTACGCCATGATTAGGAGATATTACGTGAAATAACGATATTCGCGCAACGTTTTTAGTTCAACACACATGGCATCGCTTTAGTCGTAACGTTTAACGGTGAAAGACGCGGTGTTTCCACGTATTTGGGGCGTGCATAATGGTCCCGTTGAAGCAAGCGTAGAGATCTAAGGTCTATCAGAACTAGTGGAGGTACGCTGGGGCCGCTTTCACGACGTGGCCCAAGGGCTCCTTGCGGACTACAGCGTTGAAGCCGTTGTGCGGGTCGGCGGTGTAGTCGACGGTGCGCCTGGTGCCGTCGGGGTCGTTCAGCGAGTAGGAGCCCTGGACCACGTCACCGGACCTCGTCTCCTGCTGGCTCTTGGAGTCGCCTGCGGAACGTCGCGAACGTAAATCGAAATCAAGGGCCTAACGTGCATGCACAAGACTTAAACGCCTGGAAATATTAGATGTGAATTAAATTTCACTTTTTTGGAAATTTTGTTATGTAAGGTCCATGTTTCTGATAGTCCTATAAAATTACCGTTAAATGCGATATGTTTTGATGAGCTCTTAACAAGACCGCCGCAATTTTCACCCGCAAATCCCTTAGTAATCCCCGAAGTTGCTATTTTAATGATTCTATTCCAAATCGATTGCTCATTTCCACGTGTAAGGATTTTAAAAATAAAAAATAAGGTTAATACTGTATGCAAAATTCTTTTAGGCCCAAATACAGCGACGTGACGAGCTTAATCGCCGTTCTTACGGCACAAATGTTGAATTCACTTGCACGTACCCGCAACGGCAAATTTGTACGTCCGTCAATCGCAAGTAAAATATATAAATTGTCTAGTTTTCTTTAGATGTGAACGTTTGTCTCCCTGTTTTTGATACGATTTGTTTTTGACATAAATTGGTTTAGACATTGTCTCAAAAGTGTTCCCTTTTGTTATTTGCTTTGAATTTTGCAGCGATCTGAATTCAACCCATATTAGTGTCATTTCCTGATATCTATACAAACTAGGTTTTAACTTAACGTAATATAAACTGTGCGTTTGTTGAGAATACTGTTTTTAAGTTTGAAAAGTGTCTAATAATTTAGTCTATACACGAATAATTCTTATTTTAACCTATTCCTACTATAGGGTAAAATAATAATTTGATATAGCGGCGTTTAACAATCACAAATAATAGTCATAAATATTTGTCCCATTACGAATCAAACCCACGACCCGCGACGCCTAAATCTATCGCATGGCAATTGAACGAACCGAATGATCAAAAAGAGAGAACAAATTAAAGAATATCATTGATACGAAACCCAATCATACACCTAAGGCTTACCAGTGAGAGCATCTTGAATGTCATAAGCGTAGGAATACTGAGGATTGGGGTCGTATTCGTCGACGGGGGCGGCGACTTTGGCGATAGCTGGGCCGTAAGCCAGGGCCGGCCTGGCCAACGCTAGGGCTGGCCCGGGAACTGGCAGACCCAGAGGCCTAGCATAGCCGTATGGCGCAGCCAGGGGAAGCCCGGCGAAAGCGCTCCCGCATACCGACAAGACAGCAGCCAAAATCAAGACCTGTTCAACATCGGTACATATTTTATTCCAGATACGAAGCTTCTTGATTCAAAAATCAAGTTATGTATAGAGAAATTGACTGAAAACTATGTGGTCTAAATTTTTTTTTTAATTTATTTATTGTTTATTGAAAACACTTCAAACAGGGTTACAAAGGGCGAACTTAATACCTATTGGCATTCTCTACCAGTCAACCCGAGGCGTGAGGAGAAATCGTGGAATTCAAACTTTTGTCTTTTTTTTAAATATTTTTTAAATTATTTCTTAAATATTTAATGAATTTTATAATATTTTAAGGTATCTTTAATGACTAAAATAGTATTTTTTTAAATATCATGTAAAATTGAATTTATTATTTACGTTGATAACGTTATGTTAGAAGTGACGGTAACCATTTCATTCACAAATTGTTTTATGATACACCTATATTAATATCACACCACCGGATATTAATATCCGGTATACGGTATACCGGATAACCGCCGCCCATGGACATTTGCAACACCCTTTGGATTGTAGATGCCTTGCCACCTTTTAATAAAGTGGGTTTTTTCATTAATACGTAAGGTACTAGGTCACCTAACTATGATTTTCGGACTATAACAGTACAAAGTTAAGTACCCCACAAATAACAGTCACGACTTCTCGCTAAAAACGATATTGCAACATTTTATAAAAAAAAACATCACATTTCATATTGACTACGAATGTAAAACCCACCACCAGAACATTAAACTGTCAAATTCAATATTACTATAACGTTAATATAACAATATAAAAGCCAAAACCAAAAACTAAATAAATTGTAAGCGCATTAAATATGTAAAAGTGGTCGTGGGAACTAAATCCTATAACTCATAGTAAATAAAAGACCTGATTACTTCGGATAACATATCAATAAGTAGTAAAAAGTAAATATATTTGTATTAGAAGTTTTCGGATTTACCTTCATATTGCGAACCTTCGGTGGGCACTGAGACGTGTGTGCTTTTGAATGCATAGGGGTGCTCGCAGGCAGCTTATATACTCGTGTATCGAGGACTCTTAATGCACCGTTGCACCCACATTACAAAAACATTTGGATTGTCATGGCCCTTTACCCTTTATTGGCACTTGATTTATATTAAGCAAAATTCTAAAATGAAAATGTGTCGCATTTTAACTTTGAAATGAAAATTTTAAAACAATCCTATGCATAGTAGGTACATTCATTTTATTATAAGTGTATTTTTTAATAAGTGTATATTATCATTTAGGTTCAAACAATGTCTCTGGATCTTTATTGTATATAGGATACTTATTGTATTAGAAAACTGCTTTGGTAACCAAAATTTCTTAGACATCTGACGATAACAGAAATTGAACTGTGATATTTGCATTTGAACATGTTGTATGCATGGTAGGTATATGGGCTCAGGTTACGGTTTTAGGTTTATTCTTATTAACCGGAAAATTATATTTTAACTATTTATAATGGTGTTAATATAATTATTTTATATCCTATCTAATGGGACATAAAAATCCTTCTATTGGGCGGACCAATTTCGTGGAGTAGGTAATTATTTTTACTTCGATATAGCATTGGAAATGATAATATTTTAGGACAAATCTGATGTTTATTCGAACAGTACACGTTATTAAATGAAACTAATTTTACGGAATTTACAGACTTTATTTTTTAATTCATTTAATTTGGATTTGGATTACTTTGCAGGATTCAAGATCACGGGAGTGGAAGCACGGAAGTGCTAATATTTGCAGATTTCATAACCAATTTTCAAAAAAAACATTTAACAATGATCTCTTAACCAATTTTATTCATGACTATACAAAGGTAATTGTTTTGTGATCTAAAACGACAAATTGTGTTATCTTCGAATGCGCTTTCCCAAACATTTAGTTTTTACTGTTACAATGACATTATATGTATAATTATTTTAGTTTCAATTTAAAAGTAGGTATTTGAAACAAAAGCAAAAATCTTATTAAGCATATCCATTATGTGTACTAAAAGAGAGCCTATATATCAAACAGAACCTGTTTTACGGTCACAGCTGCGCCTTATCATTTTACGTGTCTGAGATATAGAGTACCTATGTGATAATAATAGATTGTCCTTAAATGACGAACAGTGCTTATAATATCTAGTCATGTTTAAAATTTAAGAGAAAAACAACACAATAATCATGAATTCGATAGCCTTGTTCTTAATATCCAGAAAACGTTCCAACTTTATAACTAATAGAAATGATGCAATGTTTGCCAAAAATTTCTTTATATTTGAATTAAATAATTTTCCATATCCGATACATAGTTAGGACACCTCTATTGATTTTTCTCTAGAGATTGTTAACAAAAACATGTACCTACTTTATTTAAAGAAATTGAACGTAATACAAAGCTAATATTGCATCATTACTAACAACATATTATAATCATGTTCATAGCAAAAATAAGGCCACTTTAGTTTATACAACTTGAGAATGTGTTTCGAATGAATGATTTTTACTCTACGTACATGTTTTTTAATTTATTTCGCAATATCACCATTCAGTTATACATTTTGTGAGTAAACAAATTTTATTAGATTAACATAAAATACAAACTATAACGTATTTTCGGTCAACGATTGTTACTTTATTTTCTGGCAAATGTCGTGAATTCTGAAAATTTGCTAATTTTGTATTAACAGGCGTTTAGTTAATGCGAAATGGTAATTAACATTCGTAGCATATAATTTGCAATGCATATATATAAATATTTTATGTATTACAAGCCCATGAATTACTTTTAATTAACACAAAAATATTGTTATGCGCACACACAGTTGTCTATAACTTATATCTGCGTTAAAACATATTGTGTCTTAGCATTACTGTATAACATTTTATGAAGGTACGATTTAGTACAAAATTTATTAGCATTTAGGTACTTATTATAAAAAAAATTATATTAAAAATCAATAAAAAAAAAGCTTAAAATATAGCATAACTTCATTATATTTTTATGGCGTACCATATGGCAACATTTAGTTTACGAAAACGTCATTTAGTATTTCTTTTTTCATAAAAACCAAGTCCAACAAACATTGCGCTTTGTTATGTTTTGAACGTTAAAGATTGTTTGTACCATACTTCATTAAGTTAGTGAGAAGGAAAAATGGCAGACTTTGATGCAATATACCCTGACGAGACTGAAAGCGAGGAGAATATAGAAGAAACACATGTGACGTTAGTGCCCGACCCTATCGTCATCCGTGGAGCTGGTAACATGACAGTGTAAGGTTTATTTTATCAGCTGTTGTTATAGAAATGATTAACAAAGTTTTCTGAGCCTATCAATACTTTAATATATACCAGATCTTAAATAATTATGTTTTCTTTGTTAACGCAAGTCCGTGGCATTGAAGCTTTTCTTGTACGAGGACATTGACCAGACGCCAATTTATGACATTTAATTTAATAGGGCACTTAATTGTACCGAAGCGAAAGTACTAAAGTACTGTTATAATTACATATACGTCGAAACAAATATGTACTCTGATTTATTAATGATTCAATATATTTTATTATAAAAGACTAGTGTCACTAGTGTTCAAGATATAAAAAAATTAATCCGTAAGTTATTAACCAATTACCAATGAAAAATACATAAAGAGTAACATGTAGGCAATTAAGAAACATACAAAGAACAGCAGACCCAGCTTGTGTAGAGGTCATGAGTCACCTTCACAGTTAATTATATGAGAATATCACAAGTAAACTAATAAACTACTTTCTGTTATCACCATGTGTGTTTTCCTGGAATAATTTAAAATAATAAAATTAAATTGGTTGATAATGTTAACTGAACAAAATAAATTTTGTATTTAATTTACTTTGTTCAGTTAATTTTACAATCAATCAATTGCAAACAATCTATTGTATTCAACAATAAGATATAGACATTGATATTCATTCAAATGTGATAACTGCAACCTGATTATCTTTAAATTTATTTGAACCTGTGGGACCATAATTAAATACAAGAACAGGAAATGAAATAATTTAACTCCTTAATTAATCTGCTATATTTAATAAAGTAAAAGAAGGTGGTAAAATTGTAGTGTTGCAATTTTTGTTGTGTTAACTGCACCTGATATGTGTGAGACAGCCCTGACAACTCAGAAGCCTGTTGCTTTCCCAGTGTTGGCATCAATAAAATTGTTAATTTTAAGTGCTTAGGACAGCAGTATTCACATTGTCAGCAGTGAACGAAAATATCATCAGAAAACCTGCATATTTTCAAAACAATAACAAAAAAACTTTTGAAGATATGTGAAGTCCATCAATATTCCGTTGGATTGAATGGACTGCCCTTATACCCTCTACATAAAAGAGGTCTTTGCCAGTGTGATATATAAAGGCTGTTGTTACTTTACTGTACCTAATACTGAATTTTAAAAGTGTATGTTAATGTACATAACAACTGTAAGTTCCTATCCTTATAAATTTAATTTCCTTTCAGTTTCGGTTTAAGCAATCGCTTTAGCAATGAGTTCCCCTCTGGTCTTCAGTCCCGTGTTGCACCTGAGGAGTATCAAGCAACCATAGCTCGAATTAATAGTGTTCTAAAGAAGACATTGCCTGTGAATGTGAAGTGGTTATTCTGCGGCTGTGTGTGCTGCTGCTGTACTCTTGGATGCTCTCTTTGGCCAGTCATCTGTCTAAGTAAAAGGGTAAAAGCATAAACAGTTTTTTTTTTATATTTTAAGTTCATAATATGAAGGTTTTGTAAAAACTTTTACAATTTCAATGCTATAAACATAAATTTTATTTTGTTTATTTTTCCAGACACAACACTCACTTAACAAGCTTTTGGAATGGGAGAATAGTCGTCTGTACAGTAAACTAGGGCTACGTTGGCGACTTACTAAACAACATTGTGACTCCTCTTCCATGATGGAGTATGTACTTCTTATAGAATTTATACCGAAAATACCCATATATAGGCCCGACTAAGCACCACAATCAACATTAATTGTAAATACATTTTTACCTTATGAGAAACATACAAAATAAGTTTTGACACAACTAACAATAACAATGATTAAGATACAAATAAAACGAATGTACCATGTACAAGTTATATGTAAGGGAACCTATGAAATTTGCATTATCATTCATCGGATAGCACTGTACATTGTATATATAGCGAAGTGATCAGTAGGTGGTAATGTTACATGCTTTATGTGTATAGGTATCACCATATAAAAATGCTAGCTTTATTGCCTTAAAGACAATCTTTGTATTGAGGTTGAGGAAACACCCAATGATTGTTGAAAATGTATTATTGTTATAGTAGTGTTTCTAAAATTAAACAAATGAGGCTGGTAGAAAATTGAACTGAACATTTCAGTATTTTTAACGTTTTTGTTACGCGACCGGAATTTTTTTTCAGGTCGGTAACAATTTATTATTCGTCTTTGCTGTTCTAAACATTGCTTCAGATATAGTTTATCTGGATGTTTATGTTAGCTGCTTAAGACATAAACCACATTCGAATATTATTGTTAAAAAAAAAGAAACAATAATTAAACTAGAACCATTACATATGTATATAGTCATTAAGCTACTGTTTTCAAGTTTAATATCTACATGCCAGTCACCAGGAAGATAAGCAAACGTCGGTTTTCTGTTGACTGATATAGCAATATTGCGTGATATAGCAGCATTAAAGCACAATTAGATCTTATTGTTTTACAAGTCTCATGGTAGCAACAACCTCAATCTTAACGAACAATTATTATAATAATCCATTTCAAATCCAAAAATATATTTATGTATGTTTTTGTGTAACATGTACCTGAATATCGACTTTTATTTTCAATGTGTAAGTTTTCGAATGGCGAAGGAGAAATATGTATCGATATGCTTATTCTGCGAAATTGTGTTAGGGAAAACTTTTCGGGACTGTGTTACTAGGAAATTAAATTTTTTGTAGTGCGTACTTTACGTTAGTGAAGCTTTTCGCCCTCTTTTCCCTTTTCAACATGTTGTGAACGAGGATTTCAATGTGGGTTAGACCTGACGTCATCGTAATTTGTAATATATACGTTCTAAAATCTCCAAATTTATCTTTAATCTCGGGAAAACTCATTCGCTGTTTTGTACTAACAAGGAAGTGTTGTCTTGCCAACGCAATGTTTCTGTTGAAAACAACGGTTGAAAAGCGAACAGGGTATGTTGACATTAAGTTGTAAGTTAAGTGAATGTAAATATTTTGAGTACATATAATATAGATTATTTTTGTTCAAATAATAAAACTCACTATGTGATGCATGATCGATTTTTTCTATATCCTTGTGCAAAAACAATGTGACTATATGATGTAAAAAAGCATATATTATATTTGAAAACATAAAAGGAGTTGTTCTGGTAATCAAATCACTGCATATAATATTTTATAATAATTGTTTATATTTTATATGCTTATTTTGGCTACGTTAAATTCTTATTACCAGGGTATTAATGAAGTTTATTAATTTAGCAAATGTTACAAGTTTCAATGGCTATTTTACCAATGAACCTATAAAAATGCACTGAAATCAATAAATCATAATAATACTTTTCAAAACTTTCTCACGACTTTGGAACGGGAACTTCATTTTTTTTTCATCCGGATAATTAAAAATTAAATAAAGAATGTTGGCATTAGAATTTATTATAAATTAGATCGTATTATACATATTAATGACGTTGACGTAATATACATATTAATACCTGATTAAGGCACTTAGCGTTATGGTCCCACCAAACAAATAGAAACTACATCTTACAAATAAAATGACACAAACAATTTAACGTAATGAAAAAAATACATACAATATACAATTTAATAAAGTAATATACCGATATTAAAGCTATGATATTATTACAGACGTCGCGAACCAGCCAGTCTTCACAAAAACTCCATCCATCATTCATTCCACCATGAACTATTGAGAACTGATTAAAAATTAAAAATAACAGTAAGCCACACTTTGGTCTGACAAAGTATATGGATACCATTGACACTGGCTGTCTTAACAAATAAAATGAATAACTCAAGTATTTATTATTTACAGAAATCTAAAATAATCAGATCAATTCGACTATACACAACCATTACATGCTATACATTATATTAGGGTGACTAAACAGGGGATAACATAAGTGAACATACTCTTGACATACAATTAGAAACATTTTCTACAAATTTTAATATGATTATATATAGTTCACTCCAATACGTTTCCCAACGCCCAAGTTCAGCACTTATTTATAATGTCACTCAATATCAAGTGGCGCGCATTTCGCGCAATGACATTTCGTGTCAAATGGTAATAAAGCTAGTTAGTTCGAGTACACTTATGTTATATGGCAACAACGCGTATTAATTGTACTACAGTGGTTGCCTGCGGTCTCGTTCCTTAGGCTTAGGCATATATCTTAAGGCATGTTCAGTAACCCAATAAAAGTTTTTAAATCGATACAATACCACAAGCTCAAAAATTTATCCTTCGCGTATAACATAAAGCGTATAAGCTATCAATTCATTTGTATATAATATGTTTTTCATATAAAACTTTCAATTATTGACGAGTACTTCTCTTAAATCGATAAAATGGTTATGAAAACATTTTATTGCGATTACCTTAAACATGACTGACATCTTTTATAATATTGCACATAAAATACAAATTTTAAACTCATATGCGTGTGATTGCCTGCACATCATTTTAAATCTGACACATTTTCATGGTTTAATGAATAATTAACAAAGATTCATTTAGACAAGAAACACGAGATATTAATTATAATATAAATGGTGAGCAGTACATATACATGATAACCATCCAATACACTAAATACAATAATTGTTTCACAAGTATCACAAAAATGTACGTATACATTTTAATAGATAATAAAAATATGCAAATTTAAAATAGACAGTTTCAATTTAAAAATCATCATTTTAAACTTAAATTTGTTTTTTGTATAATAGAATCATTTAAAATATTACCTATTGCACAATCATCATTTTAAACTTAAATTTGTTTTATGTATAGTAGAATCGTTTAAAAAATTACCCATTGCACGGTGATTATTATCAAACTTAAATATCAAATCGTTACAATTTTAATTGTTTTTCTCTTATCATTTTAACTTCTTAATACATTTATGGTTCCAGTGATTAAGATCATTTAATTTTATAATTTTGAATTAAAAAGAAGGTACACTTTAAATACATAAAACATCAGATTGAGATATAAAAACTTGAATGCATAATAAAGAAACTTAGAGATAGGAAACAGAAATTGTAAAAAAGTAAATAGAATACGATATAGTTTTCGCCCAGTTTCTACGTAATCCAATCGTTATAAATGTAACGTTACGAAAACGATTACGTAATTAATTCATTGCAGTTGTTCAGAATCCGTACAAGACCTAACTAAGCCGTATATAGGTGTATATGCCGCTAATGCCAATTCAGTTTGCTATCACATAAATATCACACGCGTCCTTTTAACATTCATATCGTCAATGGCATACGTTTTCAGACGAAGGCGTTATTGAAATGGACATTTGAAGATATATTTATCACCGTCTTATCCCCACTCTATTAAGGACTGTTCAAATTCATCGATTCCTACCATTTATTACAAGTTGCTTCTGATTGAACTACCCTATATTGGCACGCGTTCACGGAGCGCTCGTGGAACGTGTCACCAACTCATTTGCACATAGTTGGCGGGAAACTGACCTCTGAGACCGTTACATTCGCCGAAGTACCATTCCTCGTTGAGCCTGTGCGTTACGCGGATGCGGTCGCCAGTGGAGAAGCGCAGATCGCCCGGCTGCACCGGTTCGAAGTCGTAGACCGCGACGGCCGTTCCGAGGGTGGGCGTCGTGACAGAATCGTTGGGCAACGGAACTTTCACCTCGACGTAGCTCGACGGGAACAGGCCCTCGACGCTCCCCAGCCGCCCGCAGAGCCATTCCTCGTTGACCCGCCTCACGAGATATATCGTGGAGTTCGCCTGTAAACGTCGATTCGATGGTTAGGTTCTACTTCATCGGAATTTTTAAAGCGTTTGGAGAGTTAAAGTTGAGTATTGAGAGTAATACGTCGCCCATTAACGCAGATTTGTATATGTAACACAATAAAGACTGAAATGATATTTCGTCAAGAACGAAATGATCATATGCTCAAGAAAGAACTAATATTTGTAAGCTAAACTCGCAATCAAAAGTACTAATATACGAAACTGGTGTTTCTGCTGTTCAGAAACGAATATATACATTGTTGATTCGTTAGAAACATCAGTTTCGTATCTCCTTTGTAATATATACATATAAGTTCCACTGTACACCAAAAATCTGCACAGGACAGACGTCAAAGGCAAAAATAGTACGTAGACTTCTTTGAATGTTTTATTTCGAAATAATGTACGTTTCCTGAAATATTGAAATAACAATTTGTATGGCGTCGGGATATAAACACAAGTTTCTAGATTATTCTGAATTAAAAATGAGCACCCGAATATTTTAGCTAGCTAGGACGTCTCAATGAGGTCTAAATGATTATTGAATCCAAAATGCGCGCTTCTTCGTATATTACAATTAGTTGAATACCTCACATACATATCTTATACAACAATGTTAGATCAGAACAAAATACATTATTACATTCGTGAATGTAATAATGTGAAATACGAGGAATCAGCGTCGAACTGAGAAACAATTATCATTGCCGTATGATTAAAAAATACTGTCTGCAATTAAAAAGCTCATCTTATTAAGACGATAAACATAATTGAGAAGTTATACGTCGACTAACATAATTGCATAAAATGTCGTTACGTTTCACTCAATGGTCCCATTATTTAATCTTAATATTCAATTATCTTGTTTCAGTAATTTCTCCTCATACGTAAGAGCGATAAAATATCTTTTGTTTAATTATGAGGGCAAGGAACTTGTATTTTTATTTTTATTATTTTTCCTAGTAATAAAATAAAATAAAGTCGATTAAATATATAAATAAATTATTTAATCTTAAAGCAATAAACTGCTATTGTTGTAATGTACAAGACCTCTCCAAAGTTTATAAATATTTACTGCCAATAAGGGGGCGTCCATAAATTACGTGAGGTGTTTTTTTTTTAATTTTCTGTCCCTCCCTCCCCCCCTGGTGAGATGTCGTGAGATTTTATTCAACCCCCTCCCCCATCCCCCAATCTCACGTGAGATTTTTCAAAATGTGGGTTTCTTACGTAAACGCGTTGGATTGTTATTGTAAAAAGAAAAAAAAATAGCTTCGTGCTTTTATTTACGACTAGTTAAGACTAGTAATCAATATTGCTGAGAGTTTAATTGTCACTTGCACACAGTAACTCATTAGCTCGTCTTGTGACAATCCGTGAGGGTCGCACTTTGCGGAACATACGCGCTTGCTTAGCTGGTGCAATGTGGGCTGACCGCCTGTGCTCTGCAGCTCTTGTGCTAGATGCAAAGTAAATACCGCATGTACTGCAGCATCTTTTCTCTAAATCATCACGTACACTTGGGCAACAGAGATCATAAAGCGTGCTGATGAAGGCATTCAGCGGTTGAATCGGTAGGTATTAGAAATGGAGCAAATGACTTTCCGTCATGCTCTTTAAAGTCCGGAATTGTCAAATGTCCATCAACTTGAGTGATAGGGTATGGAGGTGGCAGAAAACGGTCGTGAAGAATCATATGCAGATCAGTCCGGCGTGGGCTGCAGCACTTCTGGTCATCGCATTTTCAACCTAAAAAAAAATTAATAACAATTTCCCTTTGTAACTCTTAATCAAAAATTGTTGATATTCGTGCTCGTTAAAAAATAATAAAAAAAAATAAAATAGGCACGCATAAAAATTTGATATGAACCAACTGCCAATGTACCTGGAGTAAATATAAAACAAATATGGTTTAACAGTCAGTAAATGTATAACGTCGAAGTATGAATGAAATTATTTTCTATCGAACGAATTAGTGAATGATCGTAATCGTATTACGCGATTACGCTCAAGATTAAATCTTAAGCATGTACAATCTGGATTAAATGGACCAAAATTGTATATTTTTTTTTTGTTTCAATCAGAAATAAAATTGCGTGATATTTGCTGAGACCCCCCCTCTCCAACGTAAGATTAGATGAGATTTGAGTCACCCCCTCCCCCCCCTTAAACACCTCACGTAATTTATGGACGCCCCCTAATTGCGTGCCAGGATTCATAATTGCGTGCAACTGTTTAGAGTTTGGTCATTACATTTTTCCGTCTATAAAGAACTAGTCTTATGTAAAAAAATTAACTAAAAAAACGTCTACTGTAGTTTATTCCAATATCAAAATTGATTGCCAATATTTTCCAAAACTTTATTCGTATAATATATTCATACAAAACATGATTTTACCAACATTCGTACTTTTTTATGATGTTTATCAAACAATATATAGCCTGTGGTGTTCCCACAGTTTGACGTGATTCTTTTATCTATAAAATTTTCGCGAAAACAACAATGAATCACAAAGATAATAAAACATTCATGTTGATAAAAAACCGCTTACAATGAACTTCAGATTTTGAATCGATATCGATAATACAAAAATATAATCGAAATAAAATTGACTTATTGTGTTGACGATAACGATTGGAAGTTATTCTTATCTCTAAATAACAAAGACACGGCCTACATGTCATGTTTACGAAGAGATAATGAAACGACTAAATTTGCGTCTTATTTCTAAACAGAATAAAGATAAAGTTCGGGCATATTATCTTGTTTTTAAGTTTGGTAAATTTAATATTTTTGCGATAATAAACAGCGAACCATCCTGCAAAACATTTTAAGTCATTTTTTAACATAGCTCTACGAATTACGTAAGCGGGGCCCATTTTTCTAATGGTTGATGGCATCTGCGATCGGTTAAGTGAGTATCATCTAATATCAGGTGAACCGCCTGCTTGCTTGTCAATTTTTCATTATAAAATATATTAGGTCAAATGTTCGCGGGAGTTCTGCAGAGTAAATGATGACCTGAATACTAGCTTAATTCGACAACATCCACTGTACAGACTTCTATTGCTCGTATGTAATCGGGCTCTAAACACAGCGTCATCTGGCTACATGCAATATTCTTCTTATTTCGACTATGCTCTAGAAGAGGCTAAGGAAAAAATCGAAACTGAGGTTTATTAACGTTAAAAGCTACATGTGTGTACTTAAGCACAAAAGAAGTTATACTTCTTTAGCGTAAGGAAAGAAAAATACCTAACTACTTTTTAAGGAGTTTTTATTTTACTTATTATTTTAAATTGTTGTTGAATTGCGGAATTGTTGCAGAGTTGCTGTATCGTACTAGCGGACCATTTTCCATGTGCAAATTTCTTGTTTCTGGTAAGAAGATTTTTCAGCTAATGATAGCCTTGTCACGTGAATGGTTATTTAATTAATGAGTTATTTATTATTTAACTCACACATACTTAGCATTAAAGTAGTTTTCATTAGTGTTAATAGAAAAGTAATTGGCAGGAAATTTTTAACTCATACAAGCCGAAGCATCCGCCTTCAGCAAACCAAATTGCACCTCTCATATGAATTGGGTGATTCAGCATCCTCAATTCCTCACCCTGGCAATTATCTTATACCATCACAAAAACTGAATGACTTTCGGATTTTTCTTTACTACGTCAACGTAAAATATAGTGCCCGGCAATGATCTTGACTGAAAAACTTCACTGTTCACTTTGTCCACTTTCAAGTGTAACCAATCGCGTTGGCTAGCGCGGTCAATAATCCTTGCAATATTGCCTTTGCTGCCAAATAAATGCATGCCAATTAAATACATTTTTTAAAATGTTCGCTGGTCACTTTACACAAAAGTTTTGGACAGGGAGTGTGTGAGGAGAGGAACATCTTTTATGATTACACAGAACATATTTTATGTTTTGTGTAATTCCAATATTTTTAAGTTTGTTATGTATTTGTTGTGGTTAGAACGTGAATAAATGTGTTCCTTTCTTTCTTAAATAAACTAAATATTTTATAATATTTCGTTTATTATCCAAATTGATGCCTCAACCCGTTTCTAAATCCGAGATCACTTTCCGATCCGAGACCACAACAAAGTGATAGCAAACAAACGGAATACAAGTCCCTACAAGGATCGATATCGATTCAAGTACAGAACTCTAAAATACAGTCAACATTTTACGTCAACGTAGGGCCACACAGCAGCTATGGCTGTTGCACGAATAGAAAGGATCGTCTACGAAAGTAGCACGACCTCAATTTAAAAATCGCTGGTTGACGTGGTGGTCACGCGGCGCGTCGAGTTCCTGCCGCGATTGATACGGCCAGTGAATGGAAACTGCCTTATCGCTCCGGGATACAGTTCGCGCCGTACCGCGAATCGACGCCTACGCACGCGATAAAAGCGGCCGCAACGAAAATAATGCGAAACGCCCCAAACGCCCCAATAGTATAACAGATCACAGCCGAGGCACACGTGGCCCGGTCGTGACGTAAGCAATCGTCAATGTGGAATGCGCGGTAAAAACTTTCCGCTATTGTTTCCCCAACTAAGAAACTGTTTCTTACCGGACAGTATGCTTCGAACATATCCCCGGATCTTCTACTAGGAAAATATATAATACTAGCTGATGCGGCAAACGTTGTTTTATGGAATTTCGTAAAATCCGTTCTTATCTGACCTCTGATCAGAATTGTAACGATTTTAGCCTCTGAAGTGAAATAATGTTTGACTAGAAAATTATCTAAGTCAATCGAAAACGCGCAATGGAATTTGGTAACTTGTGAGCTGAAATGTTTCATATTTTTCCAATTTTTCACGCGATAAAGTCATTTGTCCGACACTTCTGCAAAGAGTTCAATGACAGACACATCACGTTCTTCGCGTGACAAAAGAAACTCGCTAAAATGTCGATAGCACTATATTTGTCTTCCCCATCAGAGGTTTCTAACGCCTGTTGGCATTAACCTGAAGAAT